ATAATACAGCATAGCAGTGCTTCTAGGCTTTCGAAGGTAAGGATTCCTGACCCTGCCAGGATATGTGACACCAAGAAACAAAAAGTTGAGAAATATTTAAATATTTTAATAAACAGAGCCAAAAAGACTTGAAAAATCAGTCCAAAAAAATGAAGCCTCTTTTTTGGCTTGATTTTTTGTTTTTAAAATTATCAAGTAAGAGGGTTTCTCCCTAATTAACTAGTTAATTGCCCTTGTCTGTTTTAATCTATCTCTAATCATTTTATTTTATTTTATTTTATATTTTATTTTATTTTATTTTAGTGCACTTCCACAGAAGAGTAAAGCTTTGTGGCTGAGAATAAAGCAAATATGTATAGTCTATGGCTATTATTTAAAAATTTTAAGCTACCATCATCATAACCTTCTTTCATTTGAAGATTGGCTACATTATTTTAATAAATGAGAGCATAGTCATAATTAAAACTGAAGCTTCAAATAGCTGGCCATTTGTATAATATTTTCCTTTGTATGAAAAAGCCACACAATAGGAACGAACAAACTGACAGCAGTACATTTTTTAGGCAAATTCCAGGATAAGTTAGAGGATCATAGCATTGTCTCACCAATCAGTCTTTGAGCTCTTTCAGAGTTTCAGTACTATAAGTGATAATCAATATCCATTATGACAAGTCAGACATGGTACAAGACGGTCAGTACTTTCTGAATTGCCACTATATTAGAAGCATTTTAACTTGGCTGTATTTAATTGTTTTCTAATGGCTGTTAATCAGATTCCAGATAAATTGTTTGGTTACAATTGGTTGTTTGTGGTACTAAGTATAGAGAAGTCATTTATAAGTCTAAGAAGGTAAAATATCACTTGCAGGCTAACTGACAAATTACAGGCCACATATCAGAATACATGTCATCATTATGTTTCAGGTAACACAGTTTACTCATGAATATTCCCAATAATTACATGCCAGTGAATTTCGACTTCTCAGATACCTGCTCTCACACCCTAGGGTCTAGACCACAATCTACTTTCGTTCCAAACTTCCTTTTCTTAAGGTGGTATAATCTATTCTAGCTTCTTGGTACATTATCATCACACTCTGTTGATGAAATCAGGTGGACAATTTGAAGGTATCTGCTAAGTCCTAAGCAGGGCACTGTCACTCAGGAAAGCAAGACAGCATGTAATATATGGAGGACTACTGCATCACAGTGCTGCAGGGTAACAATCCGTTTGTTTTTAATTTTGTGGAATTTACTTTTGTTTTCAGAAATTATGTTAGACGATTTGAAAAAAAAATAAAATAAAATTGTGTGAATCTTTGCCAAGGATAGCCTGCTCAATAAACGTAACAAATCATCTGAAACCTGTTCTATGTTTTTTTAAAAAAGAACCACAGACCACACTGAAAGTCATTTTGACATTTCAGTATTTCAAATATTTTTTTAGCTGTATTAGAAGGTGGGTACACTGTAAATATTATACCTCAGTCTCCTGAAGATTCCATATTTCTTGTAAAGGCTTTGGAAACGGTCCAGTTACTTGCAATAACCTGAAACTGACCTGCACTATACTGCAATAGGAAGAGACACTATTTTATTTATAGTCACCATCTCACACACATTTACTGTTTCCAGTCTCCTGAGAAGCACAGAAAACTGTCCTAAAAATTCAATATAGGAGAAAGTATATATCAGATAACTTCTTGCTTAGAATTCTTTTTTAAAAAAATGCATAACTCAATTTAACTCAACAAACATTTACTGAACATTAACTCTAGTTCAGGTGCTGTTAAAATGACATGAGGCTTAGTCTTTTTTTGTTATACAAAACTCTTTACAAAGTTTTTCAAAATTCACAAAAAAATCTTGATATTCTCTTTGGGAAGTTGGAAATAAGCTGTTATCCAAATAAAGGGGGACATTTTCTTCTACCTCATTTCTGGAATTTCCCTGTGCAATCCTGGACAATTCCCACCTAATCTTTCTTTAAAACAATGCTCTTTTGTCTCTTCTTTTTTTTTTTTTTTTGCAGCACGCGGGCCTCTCACCGTTGTGGCCTCTCCTGCTGCGGAGCACAGGCTCCGAACGCGCAGGCTCAGCAGCCATGGCTCACGGGCCCAGCCGCTCCGTGGCATGTGGGATCTTTCCGGGCTGGGGCACAAACCCGTGTCCCCTGCATCGGCAGGCGGACTCTCAACCACTGTGCCACCAGGGAAGCCCTATTTTGTCTCTTTTAATAGTGTTATTATTATTTTTTTTTAGTTGTTGAAAGCCAGGTAATTCACTGAACAGCTCTAGAAGGTGGTTAGAATTATGTTCAGATGTGCAGTCTTCTGCAGGGACCCAGGTTGTTTGGACTGGTGGGATCAGAGCAGGAAGGTGAGAACACCTCACTCACAGAACAGGGGAGGGATGAGGAGTAAGAGAATTTGGCACATGGCATATCCAGCTAACAGAGCAATCGTAAGGTAAACACCTAGGGAAGGTGGCAGAGACTTCTGTAGGAGTCAAGTCAGATAAGCCTTGAAAATGTACAGTGGAGGAAGGAAGGGGATTCAGGCCAAAGGCAGTAAAAGAGCTGGTGACACTCTGGGCACTGTCAGAAAGGCAGTTGTCCTACTGGTTTCAGAGCAGGGCAGAGACAGTTCTTAGGCACATCTCCCAAGGATAAAGGTTTACAGAGGATGCCAAGACGGGGGACCTGCTTATCCACTAGTCCTTGTATATGTACATGTAGATACGGGATGGGGGGCCCAGGCAGGGAAAAGGAGGGAGGGGCTTTTTAAAAAAAATATAGGAGGAGGAAACTCAACTGAATTTTAGATAAGCTCCAAATAACTTGTATACCTTTTGATCTTGAAGCACTAAAACTTCTTGATCATACCTGTTCATTTCCAACCACAGAAACTGAATTCACAATTATTAGTCTATAGGCCCTGTAAGGTATTTTTACAGGACATGGCTTTTCATTTTTACAGGACATGGCTTTTCACATGTACAAAGTTTTAATATTTAAGATTTTGTGTAGATTTAAAGAAATAGTTCTACATATCAATTAATAAGTCCCCTCCCATTGTAGATTTCCAGGGAGATATATTTTGATTACTAGTAACTTATCCTTTACATGAAAACATGAGATAGACAACTAAAACATAGTTTCTTTAGTAAGTCCAAAATAATCACCTTTCCACATACATGAGAACTACAAGAGGCTTTCATCTTAATTAGGTTTATAAATCAATGTCAATATTAGCTCACTTATAGAAATAAATGGAAATAGGTTTGATGTATGTTCATGTCTCCCTAAGGGCAATCTGTTTCCCTAATGATATCTTTAACAAACCTTGAGACATATTTAAATATACAATTTCCACAGCTCCCATTTCATGGCAACTCAATAAACTAAGTTCCAGTCTAACTCGTGAAATACTAGGTTCTTTCTTGAATAAAATTTTTCTGCTTTGATATACACAATAATTGGTTTGCATAACCCTACAATGTACTTCTTAGATGAAATTAAAACTTTTTAAAGAGAAATTGTGGTCAAAGGATGGCATTTCATGAGCCTTTAAACTTTGCTACCTGATAAAGAGTAGAGTAAAATCTCTATAATTAACCAAAGTAAGAGACAGAAAGAGAATTCCATTCCCCTCAATGGCTAACTCTATGAGTTTCTTAGCATCATGATTCTTCAGGTAGTAGTTTATATCTGCCTAAAAAATAATTGTAGTTCTCAACGTAGAATTACAGGGAAAAGGAGACCAACTGAAGGGTTAAACGCCTGTTAAAAATATTAATTTGCATTCTAAAATTCCAAGACTCTGAGAAGCCTATCTAGAGACCTGTAAGATCCACAAGATTTCTCAGTAACTGTAAAAGTCTTTTAAAGTTGCTCCAGAGATGGTTTAAACTAACCAGATGCATCAAAAATCACCATTCACGGCACTAAAAATACAATGATGTTTTAACAACAAGCTTCTTGTGATTCATAATTCTGGTAACGCTTTTAAGTTCCATGACATTTATTTAACTTCAAACTTAATTGAAACTACCTTACACAAAGGTCTTTTATAATTTCTTATATCTTTCAATCTGAGAAAATAATTCCTCCAGCTGAGAAAGTAGAAGAGCCATTGTCTGGTTTTTTTTTTTCTATTGTCACGTAGATGAAGTAAGAATATTAGTTCTCCTCTGTTAAAAAGCCAGAGAGCTCAAAAGGTCTACCAACTGACAGATCTGAACATTTTTCACTTCCTTCCAAATGATGAAAAATCACATCAGACAGGAAACACATTCTTTAGATTAGTGACAGGTGTAGAACGAGCAGACAAGTCAGCCTTTATTTTCAGGGTCGGCAGCATATGCTCAGCAGCAGAGGGGACAACTCTTCCTTTTTATTGAAGTGACACACATGATATTATTCCTTCATCTACACATCACCAAGCAGAAAAGTTTCCAAGCAATAAAACTACTTGATCTTGGTTGAATGCCAGGGTAGTCTTAAAAAAATAAAACCTCAGTACTAAAGAGAGAGAGGAAGGGGAAGTGGTGGAGGACGATGATGGTGATGAGTCCAGTTTAAGAATTTCTTTAGGAAAAAAAAAGAATTTCTTCAGGAGGAAGGAGGGAAAGTTGTCTCCATTCTCATACTCATTTCTCCATAGAACAGTAAACTTACTTAGGAGTTGAAAAAATTAGCAGCTTTATTTAGAAGCTGAATGATTTAGATTATACAGCACAATAATATGGTTCATGAAGCACCTAACGCTGCAGTAGAAAACAGGTGCTAGTGAAGTAAGAGTTTCAAAGGTAAAGATAAAAGTCCCCCCCGCAGGGTGCCCACCAAAAATGCATTTCTTCGTTCCCATTTCTCTTCCCACCCACCCCAAGCCAAATAAACAGTAACATCAAAGCTGTAAAGCTATGACACTACTCAAGATAAATTCTGGAAAATGGGAGAGTAAAAGAAGCCCTAGTACAAGTTCGGATTTAGGACTTACCTGCTCTGATCCCAGTTGGCAGCGAAAAGGACTAGAATCTTCCTGCCATAGTGGTCCAGATTGGCTAGGCCCCCAGGGAAGCCATCCTTCAGTGCCTGCTTGATGCCTGGATCAGTGGCCTTGAAGCTTTTGAACATGTCCAGGTTCTGCTGCCGGTACTCAAAGTACTGGGCCAGGAGGCGGAAAGCCTCGAAGTGATGAAACTTCCTGGCCCGCAAGAAGCGTAAGATGAAGGCATCATCTGTGCGGAGAAAGCCAATGTCCGGCCTGGTGATGACCATATCCCTCACCTCCTGGATGTCCTGGTGCAGTGTGTCTGGGTTCTCATTGAGCTCCAGGCGGGCTTTCTCCAGCGTCTCAGGAGAGAGACCAGCCTGTAAATGAGTCATTGTTCTGCTTGTTCCTGAGCCCTGCCTTTCTCTTGCTGGCTGTCCCACCGCACCGCTGGCCCTGGTCACTGCCACACGCCGGCCTCCAGACCTCGCTGCTGCCTGCTTTCTCTTCTTTACAGGAAACGATTTGTCTTGGTGTCCAGTCAAGTACCCTGTTGCTCCTGCTTCCCCACACCTTTTCTATGAAGGATATAAACTTCTTTGCCCACCACCTAAAAACAACGTCCCACTTTAGTTCCCTTGTCCCTTTCCTTTAAAGAGATGTGGACCTCTGGCGGCCCAGCACTCCTCTTCTAGTCCTTTCTCTCTGCTAACAAAACACCCCTAACTGCACCCCGCACAGGTGGGGCTGATCTTGGTGCTGTCCTCTTCTCTTCCGAGATGTAACAGAAACAGCCCCCATGCACATCTCAGCCCCAGCACTGTGATGCTTCTGCGGTCCCTACTGAAGGATGCTCCTGCCAGGGATAACGATGGAAATTCTGATTAATAATAAGGCGGCTCTTCAGCGCGGAGCTCAGGGCGGGGGAGAGAGCGTCTTTGCCAGAAGAAAAAAGAGAGAAAGAGAAAGAGGGGGGAAGGAGCTTATTTCTCCTTCTACTTATTCAAAGATGCTATTTCTAAGACATTTGTGGGATTCCATTTAAAATGACTGTGATCCAGTTAGGCGGAGGCTCTGCAGATAGCGCACCTTCCCTCCTCCCCTCCTGGATGCACCGTGATCTCATAAGGCACCAGAAGGGGTTTTGGTGGCGTTGGCCCCAGCGTGGGCTCCCCCCTCAACCCCACCCCCAACTTCTGCCTTCCTCTAGCCCTTTATTTCAACGGACTTGCTGCGGAGAGGTTGGGGGGAGGGATCTCGCCGGGAAGGTACATTGCAAATGCAGGGCTGGGGGAGAAGAGGGTGGGAAAAAGGAGCGGAGGATAAAACCTTTTCTGTAATACCCCAAAGCGAGAGAGAAGAAAGAGCAGCCGGCTCCTACCAGCAAACCCGGAGGCGGGGACGCTAAGCAAGGCGGCCCTCCCCGGCATCCATCGGCCGCGGCTTCGGAGGCGGCGGCGGCGATAGCAGCATCAGCCCCTCTCGGTGGGTTGGAGCGAGCAGAGAACGGCAGCTGGGACCCGGGCAGGAGACGCTCTGGGGAGCGGCCCTGACCACATCGTCCGCGAGCAGCCCGCTTCCTCTCCCCGCAGGAGGGGTGGGGGGAGCAGAGCTAGGGCCACCGGTGACCCAGGTTCTCGCCCGGCCCTGCCATTCTCGCCTCCGGGAGAGGAGAAGGAAGGGGGCGAGACTCGAACGCCTGGATGGAGAAGGCCACGCGGGTAGCCGCCGCCTTTGTGCGCCCGGAGCCGCCGGGACCGTGGGCGCGACGGGGCGGCGGCAGCGGGGCGCGGGCCTCACCCTGGGCGCTGCCCGGCGGCCGCAGTCGGACGCGCCCCTCCGGGCTGCTGCTGCGGCGGCGACGGCGGCTGCGGCTGCCGCTGCTCAAAGAGGACGCGGCTCAGCCCAACTCCTCTCTAATTATCCCAGCACAGATCTCGCTGCGACGTAAGCACTCACTCAGCTCGCGCACGCCCTCGGCTGCTCTCTCCCTGACTCGTTTGGGTAGGATCGCAGTTTCCGTGGCATTCAGATATCCCGAGCCCCAAGTTGAGCCGGCTGCTGGTCCCCACTGCCGGGATGGCCGCTCGGGCGGACATGGCCTGGCCGGGCGGAGCAGCGACGCCTTGCAGCCTCCCCACGCCCCGCTCTCACCCTTTGTGTGCGAGACCCCGGCGCTGCCCGGCGGCAAGGAGCTGTAGCAGATGGTAATTCACAGTGACATACATTTTCTAGTTCCGGTAGGAGGTAATTTTGATGTGGAAGGAGTACGGAAACATTGTGTCCTTTCCACATTTTGTTGTTGACAGAGAGGTTGAATTTAGTAAAGAAGACCAGAGTGGTTCCAAAGCATTGTGCTGATGATTCAGTCTCCGGAGGAACTTATATGGATAGAATTTCGACCATAAACTCTGGCTGCTAAATTCCTGTTGAAGAGGATGGAAATGAGCATGGGGTGGGGCGGGGGCGTGGGTGGGACCAGTTCTCAGAGGAAGGAAAAACAGGCGCTCCTTGACTTCCTTCTCATCTCATAATAAAACACACATTTCTGGAGATGCATATGATGGTTCCCTCCGTTTTATACATCTGTACACAAGAATCATCATAAATGAGCAGAAGTCTTTGAGCTTGAGATGACTGTCTAGGGGTTTGAGAAAAAGCAATGTTTTCTATTTTCAAAGGACAGCATGTTACTGAGCAAGCATGTCACCAAGAGCAACTTTTGGCTTACAGACTGTCGAATCGGGGTCCTGAGTTCAGGTTAACTCAATGCAACAAATATTTACTGAGCTCCACTGTGTGTGAGCCATTGTCCTAGATTCTATGGATAGGTGGTCTTGAAGATAAGAAAACATCGTCATATTTGATGGCTATTAGTATCTTCAGATTACAGGCACACACTTTGTTATTGTTCTTAAGGTGACGGTGTTGACAAAGAGAAAGAAGTGGGATGGAAGACCTATACCACTTTATTAATTAAAGTAGTGCAAAGTAATGTAGGAACCAGAATAAGAAAATTAATTATACACACACACGAAGTCATTATCCTCAGGGAATTTACATTTTAAATGGGGGAGATGGAAAACAAACCATATAGATATATGTGTATTACATATATATGCACTATATGTATTCAAGGTCCTTCTAGGACTTCATGTGATTATGACTCTCAAGAGCATTCTGAATGCAATATGAACTGTTAAAAAATTTTGGTTCTCATTTCAAAAAAAATGGAAAAATTCAGTTTAGACCAGTATTCAGTTTCCAACCGAAGAAAATGTCTTATATCAATTGTATAAAGAGGTTTTAGCCATCACCAATATGGAGAGACAGTTCTCCCGGGGTCTTGTGTTTCTGCGTGTCTTATGAGCACGGCACTAGCTATCCTTTTTTCGAGACTATCCTTTCAAGGCTGTATGCATAGTCAACAGCCCTGGAAGAGCCTTGGCAGCTGGAGATAGTACCTCCATCTAAACGAAGGGTAGGTTTGCTTTGAGCTTTAGAAGATAGTATCTCTCTCTCTCTTTCCTGAGCAAAGGGCAAGCAGGCTTATTTGGTTTCCTTCAACTCAGAGCTACTCTCCTGTAACGTCACCCACCGTGTATGCAAATATAACCTGACTTCTCTTAGGCTTGTGGGAATTGGGGCTCAGGAAACCAGCCCCAAATAAGCTGTTGCTCAGAGTGCTTTCTGCATCTGAGTCTTTCATCTCTAACTCAGGAGTTGTGCATCCATGAAACTGTGGACAGCTCACTTGTTAGCTTACAAATAGGGTTAAATCTCAAATCCTTCAAGGTGCTTAAAATGCAGTTGCTTAATTTTGTTCTCTGAGATGGAAATACTAGACTATATCTTTAGAAAGGAGTTTATAAAATAAAATTAAACTTGTTGGTCATTGGTATGGTGTGACCTATATTTAGTGATGATATTTTCATTATATATCAATAATAGAATTGCCTCAAATAAGGTTCATTTTAACATATCAGTATATGATCTAAATAGCTTCTGTTATGCAGTAGCATCGTTGGAGTTGGTCAGTTATATTTACAAACTATTTAGTCCTGCAATGATCCTACTTTTATTCTGTCTCCCTTGTACATTTGAAACCAAATTAAACATGTAAAGCCGTCTAAGAATTAAACAAGGTGTTTATCCAGATGACACTAGAGCATTTGATTCTCATTCAATATTAACTCACTTTGCCAAATTAATACAAAGTAATGTAGAAACTAGAATATGAAAATAAGTTAGTTAAACAAAGAGATTAATTAAATCGTAATCAGAAAATAATTAAATCAAGGACTTCAGGTGTTTTCAAGCAAACTGAAAGGACATTTTGTTTTACTGCGGTATTTAAAAATGGATAGAGTGAGTGATTATGCTTTAAAGCATTTTATCCCATTTGCTGTTCAATACAGTATACATACGAAAAGGGGCAAAAAACAAGATGTACAGTTCAATGATATATTATAAAACAAACACCTGTGTAAATACCCACCCAGGTAAAGGAACAGAACATTGCAAAAAAACCCCATCTTCTCCCCTCATAGCTACTGGCCTCTCTTCCCAACAAAGAAAGCCATTCTGTCTTCATTTTGAAAGCAATCACTTCCTCATTTTTCTTTAAAAATTTACAAACTAAAGAGCGATGCACTGCAAATTAGTTTTTTGTTCTTTAAGTTAAATAAATGTAATCATTCATATGTAATTTTGTGGTTGGCCACTTTCATTCAATATTATGTTTGTGAGATTCACCTATCTTGTTGCATGTAGTTCATTCATAGTCAGTGATGATGCATGGAATTTCATTTTATAAACAACATACTTATCGATTCTCCTGCTGATGGAAATTTGGGCTGTTTTGTACTTCGGGCTCTTAGGACTCATGACGTATAAACATATTGGTACAAGTCTCTTAGTGCACGTGGACATACCTAGGAATGAAATTGCTGGGTCTTGTGGGATATGCGTCTTCAAATTCAGTAAACAATGCCAAATTATTCATATCCAAATGATTGCGCCATTTCACCTTCCCCCAGCAGTGTATGAGGTTTCTCACTGTGCGACGGTTCTCATAAGTTCTTACTAGTGTCCATGATTTTAACTGTATTTTAATTGCAGCCATGATCTGATTTTGAACAGGGGAATTGCATGGTGACTTTCCTATGCATTTCTGTGGTTACTACTGAGGTTAGCTAGTTTTTATATATTTGGCCATTTGTGTAACCTTTTTTGTGAAGCGTCAACTTCTTGAAATTTTGCCCATTTTTATAGTGGATTGTTTATTATTGTTGGAGTTCTTTATAGATTCGGAATATGAGCTCCTTGTCAGTTACACATGTTACAACTATCTTCTTCCAGTCTGTAGCTTGCATTTTTACTCTCTTAATAGTGTCTTTTGATTAACATAATTAAAAATTTTAATGTAATTTAAATTTTCCCCTATGAATAGTGTTTTTTGTGTCCTGTTCAAGAATATCTTAAACAGGTCACCGAGATATTCTCTCACACTACCTTCTAGAAGTTTTGCTGCTTTTGCCTTTCACATTTAGACCTGCAATCACTTGAGACTGGGTTTAGTGCATGGTGTAAGAAAGGGATCAACCATTGTTTTTTTCCTATAAGAATAACCAGTGGACTCAGCACCATTTACTGAGACTATTTATTGAAAAGACTATCTGTTTTTCCTGCT